CCCTCATTAGGGCTCAAAAACAGCTTCTAAAGCACAGCTGATCGTTGGAGAGAGAAGCAATGAGAAAAGCAGGCAAAGTGTGGAAGAAGCTTCACTCGCCAGCCCCTCATTAGGGCTCAAAAACAGCTTCTAAAGCACAGCTGATCGTTGGAGAAAGAAGCAATGAGAAAAGCAGGCAAAGTGTGGAAGATGCTTCGCTCGCTAGCGCCTCATTAGGGCTCAAAAACAGCTTCTAAAGCACAGCTGATCGTTGGAGAGAAAAGCAGTGAGAAAAGCAGGCAAAGTGTGGAAGATGCTTCACTCGTTAGCGCCTCATTAGGGCTGAAGAAAAGCTTCAAAAAAGCTACATTCAGAGTATAAGAAACACCCAAATCTTTGGCCTCTTTTAAGGTGGGGGGAGTGCATCTTATACTCTGAAAAATATGGTATTTATTTAACCCAACGTTCTAGGTTGAAATGCGATTCAGATGAGTTTGTAAGTCAGCATTTTCTGAATGTAGTAATGTCTACACTGTGCTTTCCAGGATTTCTGCTGCAAATCCTTCCTAGGTGAGTCCAGCCCTCGAATATTTTTCATTCGAAGTGGCTGTTCAACCACCAGACTATGCCATTTCCCTGCTCACGTAGGACACAAGGCAGCCTTGTTAGGGTTTTCGAGTTGGCTCCTATGCACTGGGAAACCCTTTACTGTAGGATAGGAATCTCCAGACTTTGGCAACTTTTAAGACTTGTGGACTTCAACTCCCAGAATTCTCCATGGCTGGATGGGATATTCTGGGAGTTGTCAACGTTGGAGACCCCTGCTCTAGATGAAAGCTGCTTATCTTAATGATATCTCACGCTTTTGGGAACTCCACTGAGGTTTAGATGCTGAAACAAAACGTATTCTCATATAAATGTGTAGAATATTAACGTAGAGAGTATTTACCACAGTGGGCAAGGTATTTGGCGTTGTCAACACCCCCCCTCCCCAAACAATTAGGCATTTATCCCATATCAGTCCCTCAGCAGCAATGCTTTTTAATAAACTTCCAATGACCAAAGAATATTGCAATTATTTTAATCCTTTTTAACTTATTTTTTAAGACTCTTTTCACAGACCCGTCTCAAGTCACGTATGTTCAGCAAGATGCAGAGACACAGCAGGTAAGGCTTCTTAACCGTTTCCTTGATTTATAAATGCATCCTTTGAGTTATTTTATTTTATTTATTTATTTATTTATTTGGGACAGAACTTGCTAATAAACACACATACACACACACACACACACACACACACACACACACATACACCCATACACACACACTATTCCCCAACTATCTTGTTTCTCAGTCATAAATAATATATACAGCCTTTTCTTTATTTAAGGAAATGTATGTATAACAAGGAAGTATAACAAGGATGTGGTGGCTCAGTGGCTAAGATGCTGAGCTTGTCGTCAGGAAGGTCAGCAGTTGGTAGTTCGAATCCCTAGCGCCGCGTAATGGAGTGAGCTCCCGTTACTTGTCCCAATTCCTGCCAACCTAGCAGTTTGAAAACACATAAAAATGCAAGTAGAAAAATAGGGACCACCTTTGGTGGGAAGGGAACAGCGTTCCATGAGCGTTTAGTCATGCCAGCCACATAACCATGGAGGAGAAGACAATGCTGAGCTGGCTCTCAAAGAAATCCAGTTTGATACTCCTGGTCTAAGGAGACGTGTTAGAGCAGGGGTGTCAAACTCAAGGCCCGCGAGCCTGGAAAATGTAAGGGCTGGCCTGTGTCGATTTGGCCTGGTTTACCCAAAGCAAAGAGGAAACATGTCAGCAGTTTGGGGATTAGTGTCAAGCTGGCCATGCCCACCCAATTGGCCACGCCCACCAAGCCAACCATGCCCAGTGAGTGGTGTCAAGCTGGCCACACCCGCCCTGTGGGCCATGCCCCCCAAGGTCAACCACAGCCCTAGTGCATCCTTCAATGAAAGTGAGTTTGATACCCTTGCCTTAGAGTCCATAAGGATGGCATGAACCAGTCAAGCCTGCATAGTAAATGGACTGGACACTAAAACATACGATGAATGATTGCAGGAACTGGGCATGGCTAGTCTAGTGAAGAGAAGGACCAGGGGAGACAGGATAGCAGTCTTCCAATATTTGAGGGGCTGCCACAGAGAGGAGGGGGGAGTCAAGCTATTCCCCAAGGAACCCGAAGGCCAGACAAGGAATCATGGATGGGAACTGATGAAGGAGAGATTCAACCTGGAAATAAGGACAAATTTCCCGACAGTGAGAACAATCAACCAATGGAACAGAAGTTGCCTTTAGAAGTTGTGGGAGCTTCATCCCTGAAGGCTTTCAAGAAGAGACTGGATGGCCATTTGTCAGAAACGGTATAGGGTCTCCTGCTTGGGTGGGAGGATTGGACTAGATGACCTACAAGACCCCTTCCAGCTATGTTGATCTGTT